GTAGAGGGGGGTAGGGTTAAGAAGGACTTTGGAGACCAAACGGAAGATTTTATATTTGATCCCAGAGGGAACAGGGAGCTTCTGAAGCAAACTGAATAGAGCTTGCTATAGTCAGACCAGCACTTTAGGAAGAACTGAATGAAAGATGAACTGAAGTGGGGAGAGACTTCAGACAGTCCTCTATTGGTTTTAGCAGCTTCTTGGTTTGGTCTTCATAACCTGCCTAGGCATTATAAGGTCCATCAGAGTGGTAGCAGGGTCAGAGAAGAGGAGAGAGCACATATCAGAGATGTTTCCAAGGTAGAATCTACAAGTCATGGCAACAGATTGGATATGGGAGAGAGAGAAGAAGGGAGAAGGTGAAGATGACACCTAGGTTGTGAGCTTGGGTGACTGGGAGGATGGTGGTGTCCTCCACAGTAATAGGACAGGTAGAAAAGGGGGAGGGCTTAAGGGTGAAGATAATGAGTTCTGTTTTGTACACACTAGGTCAAGATGTCTATCAGACAGCTAGTTCAAGATGGAAATGTAAGACTGGAAGAAGGGGGAGAGGTTAGGACTGGGAAAGCAGGTCTGAGGATAATCAGAAATGACAATTGAATTGATGCAAGCTGATGAGATCACCAAGCAAAATAGCATTGAGGGAGAAGAGAAGACGGCCAAGGACAGAGCCTTGAGTGACACTGTCAGTAGGAATGATTTGAGGGAAGATTCAGCAAAGAAGACAGAGGAATGGTCAATTAGATTCATCATAAAAATGTAAGAAGATAGTATCAGAGAGAAGAGGGTGATAGACAGATATATATATATGTGTGTGTATATATATATACATACATACATATATATACACACACATATATATATGTAGGTAGAGCATTTATTAGGCATTTACTATATGCCAGGCACTGTGCCAAGTGCTGCTGGGGTTACAAATACAAATGAAAAGAAAGTGTCTGCCAACAAGTTTACATTCTAATGGGGACAAGAAAACGTATAAAAGGTATCTGAAAGGGGGTCGAAGGGCTGGGGTGGGTCTGGTAGGGGAAGGTATCTGCTCTGGGACAAGGTGAAGAGGAGGTCTGGGGCATCATGGTATTGTCCAGGTTTGAAGAATGTATGATGGCTGACCTGTATACAGTGGTAAACAACAAAAGGGAGTTAAGAGGGAAATGGAGGCAGCTGGGTGGTTCAGTGGATAGAGTATAGAGCCTGGAGTCACAAAGACCTGAATTAAAATTTGACCTCAGACACTTACTAGCTGTGTGACCTTGGGCAAGTCACTTATTCTTTGTTTGTCTAAATCCATTAGAGAAGAAAATGGCAAACCACTCTAGTATCTCTACCAAAAACCCACCAAGGGCAGTATTGGTGTACTATGGTCCACAAGGTCACAAAGAGCCGGCCACTGCTGAACAATAACAAGAGGGAAATAGAGGCTACAGAAGGAAAGAAGCAGTCCCCCTGGTAGTGTACAACCCCAGTAAAATGGATGAAAGGGCATTTTATACAGTACTCAAAAATTTGCTCTATAAGGGAGGCATGCTGGGACTTTGACCAAATGTTCTTTTCCTGAGGATTTATGAGCACACCTACAAGTGCTTTGGAAGCAAACAGAGAGAAATAGATTTGTTTGGCTCTTAAAACTACAGCATTTTTCATCTACCCTTCACATTAATATCCCTGAGCAACACTATGGGAACTCTTTGTTCACTATGGTGATACCAATATCCTTTGGCATATTTGCTTGCTATCTGCCAAGGTAGAGGAGAGTAGTTTTAAAAAGTACTTAACATGTTTCAAACCCTTTCTACTGCCATATGGAATAAACAGCATTCATTTAATGCAACAAAGATAAATAACAAAGTATTTTCCCCTAAGTTCAAGGTAGAACTATTTTAATAGAAGAATAAAATATTACGCATCAATATAAAAGGAAAAATACTGGAAGTTCTTTTTGCTTAAACAGCTCATTTCCTTGCTAAGTGAGCCATAACAGATTCTTATTTTCCCCTTGGTCCAACCTCCCTGTATGCAGTTAAGTTTGCAAATCAAATTGTTCACTGTAGTTAGACTCTAAACTAGGAGAAGCCCCATGAATGGAGAATGGGGGAAAAGTACTGTATTTGGAATCCGTATTCCTGGGCTCTGAGTCCTTGCTCTGCCACTTATGAGCTATAGACCCCTGGACAAATCATTTAACCCTTCTGAAATTCCTCATCTATTAAAAGGGGGCGAATAATACCTACCAAACCTCTGTCATGGGATTGTTGTCAGAATCAAATGAGATAACACATAGGTAGCCACTTAAGTCTGATAGAAGGAGAAACTTTGGTTGATGGAAAGAGGGAGAGGGAGGGCCCCAGGACAAGGTCTCTGAAATTATATCACTGCTCCATAATTGCTGAACTACTTTACTACTACACTACTTTAGATATCTGACCTAAGGGCGGAAATAAGTTGCAAAATATCTGGAATGCTTTCATGATTTATTATCAGGGGATGAAGGAAATGAGGGTTCCGCCTCAAAGACTAGTATTTTTCCCAGTGTATTCTGATATCTTCCACTAAAGTTCTACTGCGATGCTTTCTGGTTGTTTGGAAATGACCCCGTGTTCTTTCAAGACTGTGCCAATGGAGAGCAAGCTCTGGCTGCTTTTACCAAGCTGAGAAGGTTTCAAGTCCAGGCCTGAAACATGCTATTACCCAAGAATCAGAGCCACTCACAACAGCTGTTTACAAGATATTAGGTAGGGGTCTGTTTTGTTGGAGGAAATACCCACGAACAGAAGTATTTTGAGATCAGAAACTCCAATTTCGTTGGAACTAATTCTTTTTTTAATTAATTAATATATTTTTAGTTTTCAACATTCACTTCCACAAGATTTTGAGTTCCAAATTTTCTCCCCATCTCATCCCTCTCCCCACCCCAAGATGACACGCATTCTGTATACCCCTTCCTCTAATCTGCCCTCCCTTCTATCTCTCCCTCCTTCTCTTATCCCCTCCCCCTTCTATTTTCCTGTAGGGCAGGATAGATTTCTCTAACCCGTTTCCTGTATTTCTTATTTCCCAGTTGCATGTGAAAACAATTCTTTTTAACATGTGTAAGAACTAATTCTGTTGTCCCAATAATAAAGCACCAACCATTTTTGTTGTGCTGATTTTTTGAATTGGCATATCAATCAAAAACTATTTATTAAGAGTCTATATGGTATAATCATCTGTAAAAAAAATCTGCAGAAATCTGTAAAATGGGATAATAATAACATCTATCTCACAGAGCTATTGTGAGGATTAAAAGAGATGACCCATGTAAAGTGCCTTGCAAACTTTAAAGTGCTATATATGAGCTAGCTATTATTATTGTTGTTGATAAAATATATCTTAATACGGCAAAACGTCAACTGTCTAGAATCCTGCAAATCTCAAGAATCCCCACTTGATTAGAAGTGCTGTCAAAAGCAAATGCAATGTCCAGAAGGTTGTAATAGACACATAATATTCAGAAACAAGTGTGAAGTGGTTTAAAAAAAAAAAGCTGGGAGTCAGAGGTCCAGGTTCAAATCATAGCTCTACTATAGCTCACTGTTCAGGATTTAAGAGCTTAGAATGAGTGTATATAGTAATTGTTTTCTGTTCTGCCCAGGGGATTTTCTCCTCTCAGACTGATATTTTTGAGATGGAAAATTAGGCCATCTTTTGTTTCAATTTTTACCTAGACCTTTGTCATTGAATGGGTGATGCCTCAGACAAGCTGAGGCCTGGGAGAGACCTTAATTTAGAAATGCCACGTCATCCACTGCATCTATCTTGCCTTCAGATTTCAATGACTCTGGAGGAGAGAGTGAGTCTAAAGGCTTTGCAAAGCTCTGCTTTATTTAAATCTTGAGCAAGTCAAGACATCACACATGTGATGTCATCGGTCCTCTTCAAGAACAAAGGACCGCCGCCACCAACAATAACAACTCTACCACTCGCTACCTGTTACCTTGGACAAGTCACTTACCTTCAGTTAAGGCCTCAGTTTATTCAGCTGCAGAATGAGAGGATTTGACTACATGTCCTATAAGGCCCCTTCGAGTTCTGAATGTATGACCCTACCTTGTAAGGGAGCTCTTCCCTGGGTCCTTCCCTGCTCAGGACACCTCCCACCTACTCAGAATATATCTTGTATGTTCCTGGTTATTTACATACTGGCTTTCCTATTAGAATGTAAGCTACTTAAGGTCAGGAGCTGTTTTTGCTTTTCTTTGTATCCCCAGAGCTTAGCACATACAGTAAACACTTAATAAATGCTTGCTGACTGAATAACCGATCTCATGAGTATTCTGCACTGAATGGACCCACAAAGGCATAGTGTGTTCGTTATAAGAGGAATATTGAAAAACTATAGCCATTCAAAGGAGGATGAAGAAAACAACATCACTTGAAGCAGAGTTTCATGAATCTGACATCATGGTACAGTGGAAAGAAAACTACTACTGAAGTCATAAGACTTGGGTTCGAATTCATATATGACTCTTACTACCCGAATAACCTTGGACAATCATTTCACTTCTTCCATGAGGCATAATTTCCTCCTGTGAGAAACAAAAGGGTTGGACTTTATGGTGTCCGAGGTTCCTTTCAGTGTCAGGTCTATGATCCTAATTCCAACTGGTTACTCAGACTCTCTCTGAAATCCTTGTGGCTTCAGGGAAACATAATCCTGGGCAGAAGCATTGCGTCTCTTCTTCGTACAGGAGAGAGTCTGCTAGAGTCTGCGCTCAGACACCCTGGTTTGGGAGGAGGCTGAGGCAGAGTCACTGAGACAGAAGGGGCTGGCAGAGGCAGTGACGCAATGATGGGCATTGGACGGGTAGGGGAGGGGAGAGAAAGAAAGAGAGGCACAGACAGACAGACAGACAGACAGAGGAGGCCTTCCAGAAATTTGTTATCGGAGTTCAGTAACTGGAGTCTGGGTATTGCAGACACAGTTGGCTCCAGAGGCCCAACCAACCCTTGCTCGTCTAGGGGAAGAAAAAAAACAAAAACCTCTGAAGGGAAATTGCTGGAACTGAAGCTGCTGGTTATTGTCACTCCTTTTGAGATAAGGGAAAAGGACTATGAAAGTTGAACTCCCTCCTCCTTTCCCAAATGAAGTAGGCATTCCTACATGATTTTCTCAGTTTGTTTAAACAATTTCCACTGCTGATTGGTTTATTCGCAACTTCTCTGTGATAAACATCTGAACATTAACTGCCCACAGGGAGGATTGCAAAGGAAGAAGCCAATGAATAGCTTTGTGGCACCTAGATGACTACAGAGATGAAGGCCCTCCAGGGGCTGACTGTTGGGGATAGCAGGAAAAGGAATCATTTTCCTGGTCCTCCGGGGAAGCTGAGGTGAGTGAAAGAGAACGATTCTTACTAGCTCCTAAGCAGCGGATGTAGATGAACCACGTAACTCAGGACCATTGACTCCTGTGCACATACAAGATTTAGGTGGCTTAAGGTGGCTAGCCTTTCTGCGAAGTTTGGGTCCTGCAGCGTGACTGGCAGAGTTCAGTCACGGACCAAGAGAAGGTCTCCCTCTTCCCCTCCCCCTGGACACCCCTCCACCTCTCCCAGCCACCTGGTGAGAGGAATGCTAAGGGTTCTGGGAAGGGTGGCCACTCCCTGGGAACCACCTCCCCCCAATTCCAAAGGGTCACAGCTATTCTCTTATCTATAAGTCAGACCCTGCCTTACAGAACTATCTGCTAGTTACACTATTTATAGCTTAGAGATAAGAATATGGGGGGGAGGGTGGGATGAGGGGTGTAAAGCTATTTTCAAATATCTGAAAGATTCAAATGATGGAAAATGTAATAAACAGCCTCTGTCATTGCTAAGGATAGAATTAAGACAAATAGATGGAAAATACAGGGATGTGAATTTTAACTCCATATAAAGAAAAACATCAGAGCAACTAGGTTCAAATACTACTCTGCTGTTTACCAGCTGTGTGACCTTGGACAAGTCATTTAACATCTCAAAGTCTCAGTTTCCTCATCTGTAAAATGAGGGGAAGGGAATAGATGACTTCTAGGATCCCCTTCAGTTCTAAATTTATGGCCCACTCTACAGTAAGATTGAGTAGGGTTCCTTGTGAAATAAGGAGTGTCTTAAACCTGTTTTTTTTTTCCCCATTTAGGCCTATGATTTTATCCATGCAGAGAACAGTAAAGAAATTCTCTCTATCAATGCAGATCAGTAACTGTTCTGCAATTTACAGCATAGAGTTTCCTGGGAGAACTGAGAAATCAAAGGGTATGCCCATGGTCACACAGGCAATAAATGTATATAAGAGGCTTTAACTGAGGTTTGTCCTAAGTCTCCAGTCAGATCTCTATCCACTATACCACACTGCCTCTTGCCTTGTGCAAAATAGGAATTTGAAAAAATGTCAGCTAAATTGAACTGAATTACAAGAAAAATTGTGTGGTCATATGTCAAGAATATTGTAGAAAATATCAGAGGGATACTGGACTAGATTAACTTTAAGGTCCCTTTTAGTTCTAAGATTCTTTCAATGAAGAAGGCCTGACAAGACCACTACTCATCAAACCCATAGATATCTCTCCAATTATGCTAATCCATATGGGAATAGAAGATTTTGCTAGAAGAAACTGAGATTGTAACTCTGGTGACTTTTAAGTTCTGAGTAAGAGAGTCAAGGATGTAGGGGCACAGGTGATGTTCTGATCTCATCTACTAAAAGGCTGAAACTTTAGAAGAGGAAGGAGAATATGGGAACTGAAAGGATGGATATATAGGTGGTGTCAAAGATGAAAATTGGTTTTTCTGCACTGTGGCTTAAGATGCCAGAATAAAGTGTATCTTGATTAGGATGGGCAACATTTTGGGGGATTGAGAAAAAGCGGTCTTTGGCAATAGTCACAGCAAACTGATCAAAAGGGTTTGAAAATAAAGGAATTTTGAGGGGCAAGGAAAAAATCCAGGTAAAACAGTAAAGGTGAAATATGATAGATACTCCAAGAATGGGTCAACAAAAGACAAAGAATAGTGGAAGTGTTTCTCTATCAACCACTTCTTCTAAGATCCCTCTCAAGCAATCATCCTCTTTCTCATGAATCTTCAATCTCTCCCTCTCTACTGGCTCCTTCCCATTTAGATGGGGGAGGGGAAGGACATAGCATCTACCCAGATGAGTATAATATAAGATAATCAACGAAGAGCATAACACTAAAAACTGGGGTGATCAGGAAAGGCTTCATGGAAGAGGTGGCACCTGAGTTGAACCTTGAAGGTAAGGCTTCTGACAAACAGAAATGAGGACATTTAGTCAGTCAGCCAATAAACATTCATTAAGTGCCTACTGTGTGTCAGTAACTGTGCTAAAAGCTGAGGATACAAAAAGAGGCAAAAGATAGTACCTGTCCTCAAGGAGCCCACAATCTAATAGAGGAAGCTACAAGCAAACAATGATGTACAGACAAGCTACATACAGGATAAAGAAGAAAGAATTAAAAGAAGAAAGCACTAGAATGAAAAAAAAATATTGTTGGTAAAGGCTTCCTGTAGAAGGTGGGATTTCAGTTGGGAATAAACAGAAGCCAGGGAAGCCAGTAAGCATGAGGGGCAGCTAGAGAAGATGAGGCGGCCAAAAGATGGAGTGTCTCACTTGTGGAACAGCGAGGAGGCTGTCATCAATGGTTGAAGAGCACGTGGCAAGGAGTAAGGTGTAAGAAGGGGGAAATTTGGGGGATGGGAGGCTAGGTTACGAAGGGCTTTTGAATGCCAGATGTAGGATTTTGTATTTGACCCTGGAGGTGACAGGGAGCCAATGGAGTTTATTGACTGGGGGGAAGGGGTGGGATGGACACGTTCAGACCTGTGCTTTAGGAAAATCACTTTGGTGGCTAAATAGAGGAGAAATTGCAGCAGGGAAAGATTCGACTTGGGCAGACCCACCAGCAGGCTACTGCAATGGTCCAGATGTGAGGTGATGAGGGCCTGCACTAGAGTGGTGGCAATGTCAGAGGCAAAAAGGGGATGTATTTGAGAGATGTTGAGAAGATGGAATTGACAGGCCTTGGCAAGAGAACGAATATAAGGGGAGAAGGTGAGAAGTAGGATTGGGGGAAGGTTTAGAGGGAAAGAGAATGAATTCAGTTTTGGACATGTTGAGTTTAAGATGTCTACTGGACCTCCAGTTCAAAATGCCTAACAGGCAGTTGAAAATGTAAGACTAGAGATGAGCTGAGAGGCTAGGGCAGGACAGGTAGATCTGAGAATCATTAGCATAGAAATGGTCCTTAAATCCATAGGAGCTGATGAGATCAACAACTAAAGTAGTATAGAGTACAAAGTAGTATACAGGGAGAAGAGAAGGGAGCTCAGGACAGAACTCAGTGGAACACCTACATTTAGAGGGTATGATCTAGACGAAGATCCAGCAAACCAAGCCTGAGAAGGTGCAGTTGGGTGGGTAGGAGAACCAGGAGAGAGTGGCGTCCTGAAAACCTAGAGAGAAGAGAGTATCAAGGAGGAGAGAGTGATCAACAGAGTTAAAGACTGCAGAGAGGTCAAGGAGGATGAGGACTAAGAAATGGCCCTTGGATTTAGCAACTAAGACATCATTGGCAACTTTGGAGAGAGCAGTTTCAGTGGAATAATGAGGTCAGAAGTCAGTTTCAGTGGAATAATGAGGTCAGAAGTCAGATTGTAAAGGGCTAAGAAAAGAATGAGAAGAAAAAATGTGGAAACACCTCTTACGGATGACCTTTTAAAGCAGTTTAGTCAAAAAGAGCAGAAGAGATAAAGAAATGATAGTTAGCAGGGCTGGAATGATCAAGTGGGGTTTTTTTGAGAACAGGGAGACATGTGCATGTTTGCAGGCAGTAGGGAATGAGCCAGGAAACAGGGAGAAATTGAAAACTAGTGACAGAGTGGGAAAGGTAGGGGAGACAATCTGCTGGAAGAGATATGATAGAATGGGATCTCTTGAGCAGCTAGGGACTTAGCCTTGGTAAAGAGTAAGGACACCTCATCATGTCAGACACAGGTGAAGGAGGAGAGAGTGGCAGTACGCATCTGAATGATGGGAGATGAGGAAGAGGGGAGAAGAGGGAGTTCGTGGAAAATGGCCTCAATTTTTTCTGTAAAATATGAGGCAGGTTCTCAGCTGAGAAGATTTGGGGTGGAGGGGGGGAAAGGTAGAGCCATGAGATATCTGGGGAGGGATGAAAAAGGTTTGGAAGAGCCACTGTGGAGAGTGGGATATTGAATTGATGAGGTAGGTATAGGAGGAGTATCGAGCAGTGGCAAGGGCCCATTTGAGATTGTGTAACATAAACCAGAACAACTGCGTGATTTTCTCTACCTTTACTCAGCAGCACGTGTATAGAAGTGAAGGCTGAGACTTGGCAGGGCAATTGACAAAATGATAAAGGAGCTAGGGACTCAACAGGAGGGCAGTGGAGAGTTGAATTCGTTCTCCAAAGGGGTCCATATGGGGAGAAAAGGAGAGAGTAGTTAGTGAAGGGGAGATAGCCTGGGAGAGAATTGAGGGGTCAAAGGATTGGAGGTCATAGTGTGGCCCAAGAGTAGGCTTCTATAATGAAAGGCAAAGGGAGAGGTGGAAAAATAATAGATTTTGGTTGGATAAAGAAATTTCAGAATTTTGGAACATGAAGGTGGTACGCTTGTGGGTGATGGCAAGATCAAGAGTATGACCATCTTTGTGTGTGGTTGAGGTGGGGTGGAGGTCATGAGAAGTGAGTAGGTGGAGGAACAGAATGGTTAGGGTGTTTGAGGGAGGATCAATACGGATGTTGAAGTCCCCTAGTCCAAAGGCAGGAATTGGGGGAGGGGAGAAGTGACCTGGGGGGTCTGTAGACAACAGCTACTAGGATTTTTACTGGGTGTTAGAGATGAATAGTATGAACCTCAAAGGAGGAGAAGTTACTGAATGATGCAGATAGGGAGAGAACCTGGCAGAGATGATAGGGAGCAAGTAGTATTCTGACTCTCCTGGATTCAACCAGTAAGCTGAGGAGAATGAGTGAAGGTGCAGCTAGTATTGGAAAGAGTGGCCAGGGAGGCTGTGTCATCAGAGGAAAGGCACATTTCAGTAATAGCTAGAAGATGGAAGGAGAGGGAGAAGGAAAGACGTAGGACAAAGGGACATTTGTTACCTAGGGAACAGGCATTCCAGAAGACAGTGTTCGGTTGAATTTTGGGGTTGGGAGGGTTGAGGGGTGGGCCTAAGGAATCAGGTGGTGGAGAATGGGGAATGGGGTTTGGATGATGACCTCGATGGGTTCAGAATCACCGGCATGTGTAGAGTATGACTAGATGTGAGAACGTTCATCACTGAGTAGATTCAATACTCTTCTCTTCAAAGGAAGATGGAGACAAGTGCAGCAAAAGATAGAAGGCTCACTGTCAGATCACCAGCCCCATTTCACTCTTCTTCTTTCTGAAGGCTGGAGAATGGGCAGGAAACATCGCAGCAGGAGACGAACGTTGGACCTGCCAAATAGAAGAAGGAAGCCCCATTCCCCACCAACTTTCCTCTTCCTCTTCCCTCAAGGTACAAGTGCAGTAGCAGATATAAGGCCTGAGGTCAAAGGCTTCTCTTTGCACCAGGGGAGCAAACTTTGTCAAGTTTGGGAGACCAGATGAGAGTTAGCTCGTGCTGGCACAGAATCAGGTTGGCCCAGCCCGGCTTCTTGCTGCACTTCCTTGGAGGACCCAGGCAGCAGGGGATGGAAGGTGGGCAGTCAGAAGAACATCGGCCTCCTCTTCTCATCTAAGGCTGTAGTTAGTGCAGCAGGAGGCACCAGGGGAAGCTGCTCTGGGGCACACGGAAGTCTCCTGCTGAGCCCCTTGCTGTCTTTCCTCAGAGGATGTGATGTGCGCAGGTCTTTATCTCTATAAACTCCCCTTTGGCTGTCATCTTTCACACTGCTTGCACTGTTCTTCCTTAGGCATGTCACTCTTTTGCTCAAATACTTCACTGGCTCCCTACTGCCAACTAAGTAATCAAGGCCCTCCACAATCTGGTACTACTCAGCCTTTTCAGCCTTCTATTGTGTTTCTCCCCTCCATGTACTATTCTGCTTTAGCCACAATGTACTACTGCCTATTCCCCAAATATCTGCTCACTTTCCTGTGGCCCTGATTTCACTCACTCTGTGCCTGGAATGCCCTCCCCCCTCCCACTTCATTTACCTTTGAACCCTTACCTATTCTGTAAAACAACTCAAATATCTCTTCCTCTAGAAAGCTTTTCTTGGTTTCTTAAGTAATGCCCTTCCCCCCTTTCATTTATCCCTTTCATTTCTTTTTATATATTATTTTGTATTGTAGTTGTTTTCGTATGAGTCATATCTCCCCTACTATATTGCAAGCTTCACAGGCATAAGAACTTATCTAAACTTTGTATCTCTCCCCATATCTAGCATCCCACTATGCACATAGTGGGTGTTTAATAAATGACTATTGAAATGCTGAATTGAATTCTGCTAAAAGCCAGGCATCTGATAACCTCTTAAGTTGTTTAACTGACACATTCCTCCTTCATCTCATACAGTATTATATTTCTACATTCTCATACTCTGAAAATAGAAAAATGACAAAGGGATTGCTTATACTTCTAGAAAATGTCAAAAAAAAAACCACACCAAAAAGGTCAAGTTCTTTTTTTTTTCTTTTAGCCAAGTAAGGAAACTATAATTTGCAGGGAAAGACAAGGGCCAACAATCATTGTATAGAATTTTGTGTTAACCTATTTCTGAATGATAAAGGAATCTTTTCCCCATAGTGATCTGTACCAAGAATTTTTAAGTAACTCAGAATCCCAGAAATGAAGACGTCACTTAATTTACCATGTACTTAAACAGGAATCTCCACTGCAAAATCCCTTACAAGTCATCAGTCAGTCTCCATTTGAAGATCTTCCCCATCGGTGATGAGGAGCCCACCATTGCTCATAGTGGCCTATTGCACTTGTGGGCAGCTCTTAATTATCAGGACATTTTTCTTTATATTGAGCTAAAATCTGCTTCCCTGCAATTTATGCCCAATGCTTCTCGTTCTCCCCTCGGGGGCCAAATAGAATACACATCTTTGACATGACAGATGCTTCTAGACAGCAATCATGTCTCCATTAAGTTGTCTCTTCTCCAGACCAAACACTCCTAGTTGCTTCTACTGATCCTTGTACGGTCTGGTCTCCAGGCCTCTCTTCCCATCTATTCATCCTCCTTAAGCACAGATATGGTCAATGGCAAATGAGAAGGAATACAAAATGGGGCCAGATTGAAGGCACGTCAACTCCAGGACACACCCAGATGGAGCACAGGTAACCGGTGTTTACCTCCTACTCTGTTCCCCTGCCACCATCTACATGCATCATAGAGAGCTCTTTCCCTGAGCAAAGTCATCTTCATGGAAGATGAAAAATGCCTTCAGGCCCAAAATGTTTCATTTCAACCCTAGCACATAGTGATTACTATGCAACCTGACACAAATCCAAAACTATTCTGGTAATTTTCAAATACTCTAACAGTGGAGTTATTACTGTTGAAGTTTTCAGATGAAATAGCTATGGTGCATTCTTCTTGTACCATTCCTGCAAAGCACAAACAAATCTGAGCCACATTTCCCTCTTATTATTTAAGAAAGTCACCCAAGATGACAGAGTAGGAGGAAGTAGTACAGCTCAGCTCTCCGACAACTGCCCCAACATGATCTAAGAAGAAAAATTGAGTAGCAATTGGGAAATTCAGGAGCAACTACAGAGGATCATCTTTCTAGCCCAAGATCACAAATTTGGCCTACAGGTGAGTGACCAGAGTAAGAACTGTGGAACAGGGATCAGAGAGTCAGGGCTCAGAGTTCCAAGTTAGCCAGCAGCATAAGAATGCCCAGACTGATTAACTCTGCTCCAAACCGAGGCCAGCAAGTTGGGAGTCTCTCAGAAGGGTCAGGAGCACAGACTTAGGGCAGAGCTGGGCCAGTGACATGACGATGCCTAGAGCTAATGCTGGGCTACGTCCTTGGCCTAGACCAGCTGCCTAGTGTCTCCCAGAGGGAGTATGGACTGCATGGACTCATCCCCGAGTGCAGATTCACTCAGAGCAGTTCTTAGCTTCAGTCCCCTCACCCAGGACCTCAGTTGGCAGGGGGATGAGGGGTAGGCACTGTCTCCCAGTAGAGCCAGGTTTGCAGACAGCCCTCAGAGCTGACAGCTAGGCCAGCCATACTGGATTGCCCAGGGCAGATTTCTAAGAAAGAAGAATGAGTAAACAAAAGAATATACAGAGCTATCATAATGCTTGGGATGTCCAAGACACAAACCTAGAAGACACAAACCTCCAAAACAACTATAAACAAAACCTCAAATAAAAACAGTTTGCCAAAAACATCAATAAGAATTCATAGACTAAATGATGAAAGATCTTTTTTAAAAAAGGATTAAAATGGTATTATAAATGAAATGAGAGTGATAGAGGAAAGACAATCAGGTTCACAGAAGATTTAGCAGCTACCACCATAAAGAAGTGGAAAACCTATAATGTGATTTTTCAAAAAGCAAAATGTGTAGACTTACAACTAAAAGAAATTCACCCAGAAAACCTGAGATAATCCTACAAGGGGAAAAAATGGACCTTTTATAAAAAGGACTTCTAAACATTTTTTATGAAAAGACTAGAGCTAAGTGGAAACTTGGAAAAACACAGAGGTCAAGAGAAACACAAAAAGGTAAATACAAGTGAGCAAGGGAGGAAAAGACTTCATAAGGATGAAGTATTTACATTCTGATGGGGAAAGAAAGAGGAAACACGCAATCCCTAAGACATGAAATGTCATCGGGGTCACAGAGAGAGTCAAATAAGATGGAAGGCCTTGAAAAAATTTGTTTTTTATGTTTTGATGATCTTAAGAAAGAAAAAGAAATGGGAGAAAAAGGATATACTGGGGACTAAAACGGGAAGAATATACTTAATATTTCACATAATCAGGGGGCATAAATAAAGTTTATACAAATAAGGAAAGGATGGGCAAATGTCCCTTTAACCTCATTTTCCTCTGAAATGGTCAAAGGACAGTGGAACACACAAAAACACACTTGTGCACATAGTTTGGTGTAGAAATACATTCAGCTCCACAGGGAAACATGAGAAAACAGAGAGAGGAATAAATAAATAAATGTAGATAGATAAATGGAGAAAATTGGAAGATTGGTAGATCCAGAGAGGGTATAAAAACAAACAAAGCAAACAAATCCTAAGTGCAGAGGAGGAAAGAGAGAAAAGGTAAGAATTTATGATTGTGGTTTGGGTGAGGGAAAGAGAAAAGGGGAAGAGGAATGAATGCTGATTACATCAAGCATAGATACTAAGCACACCCTTCTTCTGTGAAAGGAAGAGGTGGGAAGCAAAAAAAGAAAAGAGCTTAAGAGACTAGGTTGAGGGGAAACATACCAAATTGAAAAGTTTTTACATGAACAAACCAAATGCAGCTAAAGAAACAGTTAAACAGAAAAAAAAATCTTTGTAGCAAGTTTTTCTGATAAAAGTCTGGTTTCCAAGACATGGTATAAGGAACTTTTTCAAAATCGTAAGAGTAAGAGCCAGGGCAGCTAGATGGCACAGTGGATAGTGTGTCAGCCCTGAAGTCAGGAGGACCTGAGTTCAAATCCATTCTCAGACCAAACATTGACACTTACTAGCTCTATGACCCTGGGCAAGTCACTTTAACTTAAAAAAAAAAAAAAGGAAAATAGCAAATGTTGGAGGGTCTGTGGGAAAACAGGTACATTCATATTCTAGAAAGCACTTTGAAACTATGGTCTAAAAATTAATAAAGAATGCATATTCTTTGACCCAATAATACCACTTTTAGGCCTATAACCCAAGGCAATCAAAGAAACAGGAAAAATTAACATACATACAAATATTTTTATAGCAGTTCTCTTTGTGGTAGCGAGAAACTACAAACTAACTAAGATGGGGAATGACTGAACAAATTATGGTATACGAATGTAATGGAATACTATTTTACTGTAAGTAATGAAGACAGAAAGTTTCAGAGAAACCTGGAAAGATACATCTGAACTGAGATTGGGAGAAATGAACAGAGCCAGGAGAACAATTTACACTAATAATATCGACATTGTTAAAAATGAACAATTTTGAAAGGCTATGATCAATTATATTTCCATGGCACCAATAAGGAAGAGTGTAACCCACTACCTTACAGAGAGATGATGGATTAATACACAAAATAAGACACACATTTTTGGATATGGCCAATATAAGAATCTGTTTTTCAATTTTCCCACATCTTCTTCAACATTTATCATTTTCTTGTTTTGCCACGTTGGCTAATCTGATAGGTGTGATGTTGTACCTCAGAATTGTTTTGATTTGCATTTCTCTAATCAACAGTGATTTAGAGGATTTTTTCATATGACTATAGATGGCTTTAATTTCTTTCTCCTGTTGGTTCTAATTCTTCATTACAAGATGATTAATGTGAAAATATATTTAATAGGAATGTATATGTATAGCTTATATCAGATTGCGTGCCATCTTGGTGAGGGAGGTGGGAAGGGAGGGGGAGAAAAATTTAAAACTCAAAAGATTATGGAAGTGATTGTTGATAACTCAAAATGAATTAATGATAGAAAAAAAGAATCTCTTTTTCCTGACAATGAAAATTTGTTACAAGGGTTTTGTGTTGTTGATATCCCCCTCCCTCCCCATTGGAGGGGGAGTGGAGTGGAAGGGCAGAAAATAAATGCTTGATAATTGAAAAAATAATTTAATTTTAAAAATTAAGAAAGTGAGCTGTATGAAAGGCAATGGTGCCTTTATTAATTAGTTGAATACCATACCCTACCACATGGATTCTATAATGTGATTGGTTGGTCATCGTTCACATATCACCACAGATTCAGAGTTAGAAGGGATCTTAGAGTTTATCTAGATCAGTTCTATTTCTTAGATGAGTAATGGGAAAGCCCCAAATAGGAAAGTGACTTGCCTGAGGTCTGATAAGTAGCAAGAAATGGAGTCAGAATTTGAATCCAAGGATTTGTCTGACTATAAATTCAGTAATCTAAAAAGGGTATGTCATCTGTTTGGCTTCTAAAGCCCTGCATTACCTGGCTCCACACTGCCTTCCCAAGCTTGTTTTATATTATTTCTCCTTCAATCAATGTGCCTTTGCCCTAGCTGGTCATATATGCCTCTTCTTCTTCACTTCAGTCTCTTGGAATCCTTGGTATTTTTCAGAGCTCAACTCAAGCATCATCTTCTACATTTTTTTAAATCTTTTTTTGTGTTTATTTATTTATCTATTTATTTATTCATTCATTCATTCATTTATTTATGGCTAGGCAACTGGAGTTTAGTGACTTGCCCAGGGTCACACAACTAGAGAGTATCATGTGTCTGAGGTCGGATTTGAACTCAGGTACTCCTGACTCCAGGGCCAGTGCTCTATCTACTGC